GTTTGAGAATTATTTGTCTAAGCTATCCTTCTTTTTGCATTTTGAGATCATGGAAGCCACCAGTGCTCACCCTCAACAAGAGAGGATAGTGGGAGCCCGGGAAGCCATTGACTTCAGGAGGGGCCTTCCTTAACTCGTCTCCTCCCCGCCTGGCCCAGAAAGGAGTGAAGAGTACTGTTCTCCCCACAGTGATGCCAGCCACCAATAGTGGCTCTATCTTTCTAAATCTTGCATTTTTTCCCCTGAAACTCTAGGACCGCAGTCAGCCGGAGGTGACTGATAAGTACTTCCATGATGTGCCTTTTGAGGCTCACTTTGCTTCCGAGTTGCCTGATTTCCACGTGGTCAGCAGCATGCCAGGTGTGGATGGATTTACTCTGAAAGTGGATGCCCTCTACAAGGTGAGTTGGCAGAGAAGAACAGGAGCTGAGGCCCACGTCCACTGTAAAGCTTGAAGAAGGAGGGCTGCATCCTCTCTGCACTATTTGGCGTTCTTAATAGCCTGTTTGCAGGCAGGTCTTTTTTATTGTTGATAAGCTTTTCGTTCACCTAGAATCATTGCCACCTAATAGACCAAATTAAACATTCTTTATTTGTATATAGTCCATTGTCCTTGTGGACATCAGGGCTACATAAGATACTCTAATTTTTCATGATTTCTTTTATATTGCTTACCTTTTTGGCACTGTGCTATTTTTCACAAGCATGTGGAAAACATTTAACAAAATTATAAATACAGCAATTTAGAATGGCAAGAATTACTAGTGTTTGATATACAAAATACTCTAAGTCCTAGCCATGAGCACAAGCTTCCAAAATCAAATTTTACTTTTTTTTTCTATCTCCAAATAGTTACCCATGACAACCCTTCAGAACTATTATCACTTCTCAGAAGTTATTAAATATTTCAAAGCCATGGAGTGTTTCAGTGGGAGCAGATGAAAGGGAAATGAAATACTTGCTGATATAACCTCTCAGGGGATGACCCAAGAAGTATTCAAATTTAGCAAATGTTTGCCAAGCGTCTACATGTTATACCAGAGTAGATGTGTTGGGAATTTTTGTTGAGAGACTCCATTTTAGCTGAAGTTCATCAACACATAGTAAACTGACCCCACAAATAATTTAAGATCACTGGAAATAAATGTGGTTCTCAAAGCTATTATCTCACTTCTGTTAATAAAGAACAACAATAAATCATAATCATTCACTTAGCTAAGAGCCCATGAAAGATATATCTTTAGGTTGTTCTATGCATAGGTAGGGAAACTAAAAGGAATGGGACTAGCTAACCCCAAACCACCGTGATTTGGAAACACAATAGAACTCCTGATATCTGGTTCGGTTCTCTCTGATTAGTAGACACCAGCCATTACTAATGCTTTTTTTGACACTGTCTATCTGTCAGGGTCTATGGCAGCAACTGTCTCTCCATTTCCCTCTTCTTCAGAGGTGGTCTGTGCAGCAGTGATGTACTGGGTTCGTCTCCCCCTTTCTTCCCTCCCCAGGTGGAAGCAGGACACCAGTGGTACCTCCAGGTCATTTACATCATTGGCCCTGACACCGTCTCAGGGCCCCGGGTCCAGCGCTCTCTCACAGCCCCTCTGAGGCGCAGCCGAAGGGACCTCGTGGACCCTAGTGGCCGGTTGACCCTTGATGACTCCCTCATCTATGACAATGAAGGAGACCAAGTCAAGAATGGCACCAATATGAAGTCCCTGAATCTGGAGATGCAGGAACCAGTGGTGGCCGCGTCTCTGTCCCAGGCGGGGGCGTCCATCGGCAGTGCCCTGGCCGCTGTCATGCTTCTGCTTCTGGTGTTTCTGGTGGCTTGTCTCATCACCAGGAAGTGCCAGAGACGGAGGAAGAAACAGCCCACGGAGGACGCTTTGGAGGAATATCCTCTGAATACCAAGGTGAACGTGCCCAAGAGGAGCATGGATGGGGTGGAGAAGAACGTGAGCAGACACTACTGCACAGTGCGGAACGTCAACCTCCTGAGCGAGGCCGAGGCCGCCTACACCTTCAAAGGCGCGAAAGTGAGGAAGTTGAATCTGGAGGTCAGAGTCCACAACAATTTGCAAGACGGAACGGAAGTTTAGTGGACGAGACCTATGTGTATTTTTTTCTAAAATCATTTTTATAAAACGGGGAAATACTGGTATTTTTATAATCCTGCAGATAAAAAAGGGAAAACTATAGCTTTCAGTGGCGGACGGGACACATCACACACATTGACTCACAACTGAGCTACCTCGACAGGCAAAGAACCACGGAGACCCCCAGTGTACTGGAGTGGAATTATTCCTGTAGATCCCTTTGAATAGTCGCAGCAGCTACAAATGGCTTCTTCCTTAATGCTGGTCTCAGAAAACAAGTATTTTAGTACCAGCACGGGAGTTGGCACATAGGTTAACTGATGGAGTTTGGAGGATTAGGGAATGTACCACGCCGATCTTGGAGAAAGTGAGGGGGTACAGGACCCACAGTTTCCTCTCCCACCCCAGCTTTCTCCTACTTGAGCTTCTCCTGGGTTTCTCAATAGCAGAGTGTGGATTGCTGACACCCAGATTCTTTAAAAATTCCACTATCAGCACAACGCACATGTGTGTCAGTATCCGCGTGCTGTTTCCATCTGACAGCTTATGCTCCGTGGCCCCTGGCTGTCCATCTCTTTCCTAGAGCCCTGTTCACCCGGGGAGTTCGGTGCGCTCTAGACTACAGTAGAGCCCTCCTCTGCACACCACGGGAGAAACCACAGGCTTCTGCCAGCCGGCTTCAGGCCCCGGGGACTCTGTTACAAAGCGAGGAAGAGAAACCCAGGTCTTACGCTGTGCTGAGATCTCTCTCCCTGATGAAGGATGCTGGGGAATGGGATCAGTGCACCGTGGCCTTTTTATTCATCATCGCCACGATGCTTACAAACCTGTCACACTTACCTGCTACTTCAGACTTTGCCCAGTCTGGTAATAGGCAAGCCTGTGTGCTTTGCTAGCTGTAGGTTTGTATTTTGTTAGCATTTCAGGAAAGTAAGAGATTCATTTGAATGAGGCAGATGAGGAGAAAGCCAAGTTGGGAGTCAGGCTAACGCATGCAGACCGGTCTGGTTCTCCTTGATGACTGTCACACAGCAAACAGAGGCGCTATTCTTGCTGCAGTATTCCAGGGATTTCTCATTGGGGTGGGGGGGTCTTTTCTGGTAGCTCAGGCAATTATTTTTACCATATCAGCACATGACAAGGCCATGAACATAATGGCTTTAAAGTAATTTAGTGTCCAAATATCAGCTTAACGGTTTTGTGTAGTGTGCATCCGGCTTGCTTTTGTTTCTTTTTTGTTTCTGCCTTGTTGGCAGAAAGGTAAGCATGCGTGCCGTGTTGTTTTGAACTGGAGGCACAGTTCCATTTTTTTAGGAGTAAAAGACATGTATGCCCCCTTCCTGACTCACGGCTCACCCGAATCACTGAGCAAAGAACACAGCTCCCCTTGTATAGAGTTTGCATTAGGATGACTCAGGTCTTTCAAAACACTCCAAACAGGTAACACTTTGGTACTAAAAGCTGGAAAGAATGAACCATGAAAGGTTACCAGCCCCTCTCCCGGACTCCAAGCTCCTTGAGAGCAGGAGTTGTGTGAGCCGCACCTTCGTTCTTCAGCAGTGCCTTGCGTGTAATGAGCACTCCCGAAATGGATGTTGAGTGAATGAACAAACGGAGTGATGGATGAGTGATAGGGGAATGAATCGAGCCAGGGGAGGGGAGAGTATGGTGGCAATGTCACAAGAGCGGGTAGAGGCAAAAATCAATCTCCTCCGCTTGGATTGTGAAATTACCTTATTCTTGGCACAAAGAAACACCACTTTACACAGGCATGAATCTGGCAGCGGTCCTAAGAAGGCGTGAACAAAAAGTGGTAATGTATCAGCAAGAGGTTAGCCTGGGAATCAGCCTCTAGAACAGGGGATTTAGAGGAAGGTCTGATTTAGCACTCAGTAAAGTTTTCAGGAGAGGATGAATTGAGTTGAGTCTGGAGTCTGAAAATGCTGAGTGGCCAGGAGCTACTTAAGACCAGGTTGGATAGTTCAAGGCAGAATGTCTGTATCAGCTTCTTAGATGTCTGTGAAGCACTCCATGGCTGGAGAGCTGATCAGCCTGGCACCGAGTCTTCTCCAGAACAACCGAGAGGGTGAATGGTAATTCTGTAAGGACACGGAGCTAATCAGTTGGAGAGCCGTTTTCCATTCGGCCCGTTATTTGTAACTGCTCCAAGTGCCAGCGTGCTGACACACTGAAGCAGCACCTTTCCACCCGCTCTGGGATTCTTGCACACCCTTCCCTCGCTCCTAATAGGACCCTTGCATAGTTAGGGTGCAGACAGATGGCAGCATGACGCTTGAGCAGGAAGGAACAGAGACTAAGTCCCACGTGGGCCTGGCAGCCTCCACATACAAGGTCTGAAATGAGGAGGCCAACATCGCGTGAGGCCCATGAGATAGTGAGCTGTGAGTGGAAGGAAAGCCTGTGCGATATTCCTGCCTCCTGGTCTTTCTGCCCTCACCCCTCTCCTTGTAGGTTACTGAATGCCGGTACTTCTCCTCATGGTGCACACTTGCCAATGAAAGTGTTAAGGGATGTGGAGATGAGATTTTACCCTTTGATGTAGAATTCTTCATTTCATTTATTTTATAATTCATCTTAGGGATCATTTGATGACTAATGTGGATTTTATTTTGGACAAAGCTCTGCTTTCCATTTCTCTAACTTACTCACTAACGCCTTGTGTGTGTTTTACTAACCTTTTGTATCATGCCTTCAAGCAAGAAGAACAAAAAACCCTGAGTGGTTGCTACTTGCTATCCCATGCAGGCTGTGAAGGTTCAAAGAAAGAATGGTCCGCACCATTTTTCTGCCTTCCTGCCCTCTTATTGTTCTCCGGGCCTCACAGAGGACTCCGCAGATTTCTACTGTTGAACGGGAAATAATATTGGGATGTGTTTACATGATCTTATGACATTCAGTCTCAGTCTCTTAGAGGTATTTGTTATTCTCGGATACTACACACCTGCTCAGACTGAGTAAAACATTTGTGGTGCTGTCAACCTGATTTCTTGACTCTCAAATGACTTTTGTATTTCTGATGCAGATTTGTGTGTTATGAATTTCTGATTTCTCCAATAGCATATGCCACTACATAAATTTTATTAATAAATGCCAGGCTGGTTGGTTTTTGTTTTGCTGTGTATGTTCTTTTCGGGTTGTTCATCTCATTAAGGTAAACATTGCCATTGAGGTAGCAAAATGATTCTAAAATTTTGAGGCAGATTTTGGAGAAAACTCCTCCAAGTGGGGGTGAACCTCAGACACATGTTACCTGTACTAAGAGCAAGATGCTGAATAAATTACATATCCTCTGATTAGCATAGCTCTTCTTTTGCAGTCAGTTGAAACCCCAGGATAAGGGAGAATAATTACAATCTCCATGTGCAGTACAGTAAGATGAGTATATTCATCATCATGATTTCTCGGGATACTTGACACAGGATGAGGATGGCTGAGGCCTTTTATGCAGGTGTATGTGTTTACTAAGCATCTGTAACTCTCCCTGGAGCTGGCCAAAGCTCCAGATAAGAGTTTGTTGAGTGGTTTGCCTGAGCCCAGGGGTTCAATACCAGTCTGAACAAAAGTGAGACCCCCATCTCTACTTAAAAAAATAGAAAAACTAGCCGGGCAGTGTGGCAGTCACTTGTTGTCCCAGCTACTTGGGAAGCTGAGGCAGGAGGATCTCTTGAGCCCAGGAATTGTGGTTGTTGTGAGTTATGACACCACAGCACTCTACCCAGGGCAACAGAGTAAGACTCTGTCTCAAAAAAAAAAAAGTTTTTTGGCTAGTGAAGGGGAAGATGGCAGAGTCAAAATGTCACCACGGCCACTCTGCTTTCTGCAGGCCTGTGCATTGTGTGCCCCAACTACAGAGGCCACTGGTGACCAACAGGGTTCTGTTGGCACATTTGCAAACTCAGCAAGACTCCAAAAAGCATGTTTTTATAAAATCTGGGAGAAGGACTCCACAACCAAGCCTGTAAGTTCCTGAGAAGCTGCCAAGAGCTTGAAGTAAACTTCACATTTCCTGTGATTGTCCCCTGCCTTAAAGCAGACTCTACGCCCTGCAGTGCATTTCATAGCTCCCTATGTTTCCATCTGAAAAGTCATCTTCTGACCAGGAGTGCCCACCCTGGACCGTTGGCCTTTGGAGCTCTAAGCCAGCATGTCAGAAGTCTGATAACCCTGGCACCTCCATGCTGGATAAACCAAGGGAAGAGGCCACATAGACATAGTTGTCTGAGAAGCCCAGATGTTGCAGTCCCTAGCTGTTTGAGACTTCCTAGAGCAGGCAGCAGATATATGAATAAACACACCTACAGATGGTTCCAGCCCCAGATACCCTCTGACTGCAATTGTGTGAGAACTACCTGAGTTAAGCCCAAATATCTGACCCTCACAAATTGGGAGAGATAATAAAATATTGTGGGGTTTTTTTTTTTTTTTTTTTGCTTCTTTTCCCTTTATTTCTCTTTTCCATGACATCATATTGTTGAAACTCAAACCAGGATAGTGTATGTGTTATCAGTAAGCCAGAAAAGTGATATGGCTAGAATATATTTGCCATCCCCTTTAATTGTCCCTATGGCATCGTTGCATGTTCATTTTTATTAATAAAAATTGATTACTAAGATTTTCTCATTTCAAAATATTAAGGGGGTACAAATGTTTTTGTTACATGGATACATTGTATAACGCTGAAGTCCGGGCTCTAAGTGTGCCCACCACCAGAATAGAATAGTGTTCACTGTACACAATAGCTAAGGTTTTATCCCTCACCCCCTATTATCCTGTTCCATGGCAGAACCTTCCCCCTTCTTAGTTGCCAATGTCGTTTACATCTCTCTGGGCCCATGTGCACCCATTGTTTAGATCCCACTTATTAGTGAGAACACGTAGTGTTTGTTTTTCCATTCCCGAGGTACTTCACTTAAGATAGGGATCTCCAGTTCCATCCAAGTTGCTGGAAAAGACATTATTTCCTTCCTTATTATGGCTGAGTA